TCATTTCAAATCTGAACCAGTTGTTAGCATATTAATAACTTATTACCCTATAATCTGCATGATGACGTCATTAACGACAGTTCTGTATTGTTGAACCAATGTGGTTCAAAAGAAATGTGCGACAATATGCATACGGTTTTGGGACTAGTTAGTTCATTTCTCCCATGATGCATCGTACTTAGTAGAATTTGAGGTCGATGAATATTAGGCGAATGTTTGGATTTCCGTCAAAGCCTGTGGAGTTTTTTTTTTTCTTGCGATAAACCGACTAATACAATTTTGGTCGACCAAGCCTCTTCTAGTCGACTAACGGTTAGCCGACTTAAAGTGGGCAGCCCTAATTGGGGCATAAGCAAGCAGATCGTATGAATAAGATTGAAGTCGAACAAGTTAGCCACCAATTTGACATGGCACACTTTCTACTGTTTGTGGGCAGACTGATTAAAAACCTTTGCACCTTGACATCTAGAAATTACGTAAAGCCACCCAATCAGATTGTAGCTGTCAATTTTTTGCCAGTTCTTATCATTTTTTTGTGTAGTATGCATCAGGCGGGTTTGTGGGTGTGCCGTTTGAGCTTGAGACGAGTTTCTCAAGACCATACAGGTTGGATAGATGAAAGTTATTATCTAATTATTATAACGACTACAATTGTCATGAAATCTTTTCTTATTTATTTTTAAATGTGGGTTGATGTCGATATCACAAACGTGTAATCTGTTGTTACCTGATGTCTATTACTCATTTCTAGTATTATCAAAGGAATCCAAACCGATCAGTCTGTTTACCAGTCAGACTATCCAGAATCAATGCAAAGTGTGTTTTCTTGGTTCATCTGTGCTTGTGGTGTGTTGACACTATGGTTTACATTTTTACTATTTTATGCTTTTAAAACCCAGCACTAATGAGGTTTTTTTTTTTTTTTTTTTGGCCACAGTTTGTGGATGTAAATGATGGCTCAAATTGTGTGTTTTGTTGAAGAGAGGTGATGAGATTTTCTGATAGACAATTTAACGTCTGCTCTCATCTCAGAAGTGAACGATAAATCAACTGTCAAATGAGACTAGGACATACAAAATATACCCATAATACATGTCTAACAGGGTCATGTTTTCCAGGGCAGGATACATCAGCACTTATTCATCTTTCCGCATCTGCTTTATTGGTATTGCAATATATATTTCCCATGTTATGTTGTTTAAGTTGCCCGTTGTGCTTAGTTCACCGTTTGAAGTCATTGTGTGCTCACCTGAGAAGTTTTAGAGTTCAAATGATACTCAAATGATACTTTCTATCCTACAGGGTAATGACTAGATAACTGTTAGACCTGTAGAACACGGTTCAATCCAGTTAAGCTACTGATCTTTTCTCTGGAAAAGAGAAAGCTGTGCAGATTTCTTTGTCACTGTAATCGCAGTAATGAGGCCTGTGGGTTGAGGTTAATGCTTTCAGTCAGAAGCTGAGCTTTATATTATGCCTTTTGAACATTGTGTGACCCAGACTGCTTAATTATTATGATATAACAGCTTTTAGCAGTTTAAATCAAGTCTTCTAAAGAGGCATGATTGTTTTATATGATGAACTGATTTAATTTAGGATTTTATTCACATGGAAACATTGATCAACACACATAGAGCTTATAAATGATGGTAAACAGAAGCTCAAATGCACTTTTCAATTATATTAATGGTTCTTTGAATTGCTTTTGAGGAAGACATTTGGAAAATTTTGTTTGCCAAATGATAATTTCAGATGTCAATAGATATATACCGTATTGAAGGAAACAGCTCTGCATGTGTAATATTGCTTTTATAGAGCGGATTAATACATCATTTACATTTTAGACTCAGTATCGCCAGTTACCTTGCCTATTTTTGCTCTGTACATGCCAGAAGAATTAACCGCTGTGTGTATCTGAACAACAAACTTCCTTTCGATTAAAATTCCTTCCTTAATGATTTTGTGTTTTTGAACGATTTGGTTTAATGTATGATTCAATAATGCATGATTCAATGTATGACATAAATATACTAAATTTGATACAATTTTCCAAACTTTCCAAAAAAGACTTTTTAGAGATTTTTCACAGATGTTTTAAAGGTGGCATAAATTTAATCCAACAGTATTTTAATGTGTATTTTAGGTGCACGGTGCAATAGTATGAGCAATAGTTACTCATTCCCGGTAAAAATGTTGCATCTAAAGTCCAAATAGAATCACTAAACAAGCATGTTTCAAAAAAAGCACTGGGTGTTCAAAGGAACCTAATTCTCAAATCTGTCAGATGACTCCCTAGAGTGTTTTGTGGAAGCTGTTGAAATGTGAAATGTATTTCACTCTCATAAATGTCTCACAATATCTTTTACAGTATGTATAATTACGCAGAGGCGTAGTATGGTCTCACATTGACATCATTTGTGGTTAGGAGTGCATTTGGGTTTTACTAGACCAATTTTATATATCCTCAAGAGTTTAAAGATTTATGGTGGTCAGTGGTCGTCATTGTAATATGGCTTATTTTTGAGTTATGTGTTCATGTATCCCCTCTAAGCTGCATAGAATGCACTGGCACGCATGAGTAGCTCTGAAACCAAGGGAAATTGTTAACCCTTAAGTGTCTGTATTCAGTATTCTAGAGTTTGGAGACATTATAGATGTCACAAGAAAAGACTGGCCACACACAAGGGTGTTTGACTAGTATTACTGTCTTAAAAGTGACAACACAACAGAGAGAGAGAGAGAGAGAGAGAGAGAGAGAGAGAGAGAGAGAGAGAGAGAGAGAGAGAGAGAGAGAGAGAGAGAGAGAGAGAGAGAGAGAGAGAGAGAGAGAGAGAGAGAGAGAGAGAGAGAGAGAGAGAAGCTTGCAGCTGGAAAATCATGTTACAAACAGAGGTTAAGAACAGAGTAGTACAGCATTATGCAAATTATTAGGACACTGGGTGTCATTCAGTAGCCATACACACTCAAATTTGTTCGCGAAATCGGCGTATGAACAGTTTCATGAACAAATCATGACCTTTTGTACAAATATATATTTGAAATGTAAAAATGTAGGAACACATGAAACCATATTTACACAAAAATCACACGAAAGGTTGTAAAGCAAAGGTTGTGTGAAAAAAAGCTTATGGAAGTGTTTTGGTTATGCTTTAAGTTTATTTCCACTTTAGACATTCTACTAACTTTGCAACTACATGTAACTCTTAGGGTATTAGCAGAGCGTTAAGTTAGGTTTAGGGTTGGTAGAATAAGTTGACGTACGTAAGAAATAAATGTAAATTAAGTAATACTGTATTTCCATGTTAACTCAGATTAAGTTGTGTGTGTGTGTGTGTTTGATTTGTGTGATGTATTAGGGTTTACAACTTTACATAAAGGCCCTGTTTACACCTGGAATTAAGATTTGGTCGATCGGATCACAAGTGGACGACGCTAAATACAGGTGTAAACGGGGTCTAAAATGTTTTGAGCTTGTCACACTTTCGACTACTTCCAGAGGTAGTCGAAAACACATTCGACCGGATTGCTTTCGTAGTGTAAACGCTCATGTGGTCGAAAGCGTTGCAACAGCCACAAAAGACTCTCCTCCTACTGACCTGATGCTGACCCAAGTTTGGTTTGAAGACGAAAAACGTACTAAGCAAAATGTTCTCTTGCCGTTTCTGATTTCTAACACACACTCACAGCTTTCGATGTGGTCTGATGCACTCCGTATGTTTTTCCATCGCCTTTTATGTGCGCGTTTATATGTAAATTTGCGTGAGCTTACTTTGTCGTTTAGATCAAAATATCTGAAAAAACTCTCCCCTCGACGAATTCAGGACAGAAGTTGTTGAAAATGGACAAAAGAGACAACTAGAGATTAAAACACGTTGCTTACTTTGTCGTTTAGATCGAAATATCTGAAAAAGCTCTCCCCTCGAAGAATTCAGGACAGAAGTTGTTGAAAGTGGACAAAAGAGACAACTAGAGATTAAAACACTAGGTGTAAACGGGTATCCGTCTCCCTCGTCTACTTGAGATCCGATCGACCAAAACTAATCTTAATACCAGGTGTAAACAGGGCCAAAGAATCTCCAGGGTTGGATTAACAGGCTTTCAAAGCCTGAACAATGAGCCACTGAACAGACAAATGTAAATCACAGCACTAAAGAACTCTCAGCTTTACTGGAGAGTAACACTTCCCCCAGACACTCGTCCACTGAATGAAAACACTGCAAAACAGGCTTTTCTTACTTAGCATTGTTTAGTTTTTATCCATTCAAAAATATGAAATGATAAGTCAGTAGTACCGATAGGTGAGCCATAGTTGAATCAGTCGACACAGATTTTCAAAATGAGGGACAGGCCACAAATCCATGAGTACAGTATGCAAAACTGTGGGAATGGATTGTGAATTTTTGGGTACGGATTGAAAATTCGTGGGTACGGATTAGTAATCCATGGGCGTGATTTGTAAAACAGAGGGAACCATTTAAAAACCTGTGAGTACGGGTTACAAACTGAGGGGACGAATTGCAAAACCCCACTAACTTGCCGGATCCGTTACTCACCTACCCCCACACCCTTGTCCCGGGACCTCGGAATAAAAAATAAAATAAAAAAAAGCAAGAAAAATCTGTTTTTACATGATACAACCCCTTCAAAAGTGAATGCAATAAGGGCTATAAGGTTAAAGGCAGAGCAGCAGGTTGTGTTAGAGGAAAGGTCTGAATAATGAAAACAGAAAACGTGAGTAAATGAATCCCAGGGTGTGACTGTTTACCTATCGTGTTGCCAGAGCTTCCGCTCTCGCTCTCCACTAACAGAGAGAGCGTCTATGTTCATAAACCGACTTAGGAGTGTTTCCACTTTCCACGAATACAGTTGAAGACTTTTTCTAAAGCAGTAGTATATACAGTATATATAAGTCATTAGATCATATTAATGACCAAAAATCTTTCAATATAAACTAATTTATTCTGATAAATGACTTAACTCAAACACTCTCTATTTTTCAGGATTCGTCCACAGTTGGCAAAGGAAAAGATAGAGGGATGTCACATCTGCACATTCGTGACCCCTGGGGAGCCCCAGGTCGTCCTAGGAAAAGACAAGGCCTTTACGTTTGACTATGTTTTTGACATGGACTCGCAGCAGGAGAGTGTCTACAGCAACTGCACCGAGAAACTCATCGAAGGCTGTTTTGAAGGATATAATGCCACTATCTTCGCCTATGGACAGGTAAGACTGTAAAATGACAAGAAACTGAATATTCCATTGATGTAGTGCAGTTAGTCAGTCCACACTGAAAATCCTTAGGTTTGCAGGAGTACTCCATCTTAAGTACCATTGGGAAGTCCGGTTCATTTTAGTGAATTGGCCCAGTTGAACTGTTTAATAGAACGAGTCCAAAAAACAATTCACTGATTCACGGCTTGTTACGTATTCTTGTTTTATAGGGGAACATTTCGATTTTTCCATGAGTACAAAACAAGCATTTATGGTTCTTACATGTTTTGTTCATCCTGATAATCTTCACAAATGAATACTAATTTTAAGTATTTTAAAGTGTAAATCAGTGGCCAGAGGTAAAAAGCTAAGCTAGGCTATAAACGAACCACACACTTCCGACAAACAACTCTTTATTTTAAATAAAAAAAACATTTTCACTGAAAGTTTAAGTTAGAATAGTTTAAGTTAGAAGAGCATGATTATAAGTAAGCACAAGGCTTGTTAGAGATGAGTTTAACTTTTCGTCGTGATGATGATTAATGTCCCTCATAGTCCCATTTAGCCACTTGTTAGCAACTGACTTTTTAAAAGACATTAAAAGCTTTAAAAATCACAAGAGGGTGTATTTTATGTTGTAGAAATAAAAGTGAAAATATGTTGATCTTGTGTTCACCACAGACATTATTTCATGCATTTAACAAAAAGCCCATAAAAAAAAAAAATTTGATTCGGGACGGTGGAAGTGCTAACTCGGAAATGCTACACATCAAGCAAAGCAAAAAACCCTGAAACTTCTGTCAGAACCTGAACCACAGACATGTTCTGACAAGAACACTGCTATCTTTTCTCTTTTTTCACACTAATAGATTACTAAAAAGATCTAATTCCTTCAACACAAATGCATTTGTAAGTGTATTACATCTCAAGTTCTTACATTCAATCATGACAAATTTTTTTTTTTTTTTAACTCTCCCTAGTGAGAGTCCCTAACTCTTCGTCAGTCTTTCTTTGGCTTAGTTAATTCTCCCTCTGTCGTTCGAGGGTCTTGTCTTTCTGTCAGCGTCTCTTTCAGTGGGTGATGAGGCACAGGCCCTGTGTGTGTCATTCCTCTATGTGTCTATGGCAACAGAGACCCCAAACTTCTTTTGTCTGGGCTGTCTCCCTCCTCTGTTGCCCCTGCTAAAAGAAAATGTCTCTGCTTCACATTTACCACACATATCAACAGCATTACATTTACATTTTAGTCATTTAGCAGACGCTTTTATCCAAAGCGACTTACAACTGAGGACTAAACCAAGCGAGTCATCGAGAAGAGGCAAAAGCAACGCAAGAAGTGCTCAAAATACAAAGTTCAGCCATAGCTCGGAGTAGCATAAGGCAGGCAAGTGAGGATTTAGAGGAAAGTCTTTTTTTTTTTTTTTTTTTTTTTTTAAGTTAAGTGCTCCCGGAAGAGATGAGTTTTCAGTTGTCTTTTGAATGTTGTCAGGGATTCTGCATTCCGGATGAGGGTGGGGAGATCATTCCACCAGCATGGAACCGTGAATGAGAATGTTCTGGAGAGTGATTTTGTGCCCCGCTGTGATGGTACCACGAGCCGTCGCTCATTGACCGATCGTAGGCTTCTGGTAGGGATGTAGACTTGTAGTAGTGAGTGGAAGTAGGAGGGAGCTGAACCTGTGGTCAATCTGTAAGCAAGCGTCAAAGCCTTGAACTTGATGCGAGCAGCGAGTGGTAGCCAGTGCAGAGAGATGAGCAGAGGAGTGACGTGGGCCCTTTTGGGCTCGTTGAAGACCAGACGAGCTGCAGCATTCTGGATCATTTGTAGAGGTTTAGTTGCACATGATGGAAGTCCAGCCAGAAGAGCATTGCAGTAATCAAGCCTAGAAATGACCAAGGCCTGGACGAGAAGTTGTGTTGCATGCTCAGTTAGGAAAGGCCTGATCTTCCTGATGTTGTGCATAGCAAACCTGCATGATCGAGCTGTCTTTGTAATGTGGTCTGTGAAGGTCAGCTGATCATCAAAGATTACTCCAAGATTTCTGACCGACCTTGATGGGGTGATTGAGGATGAATCTACCTGGATAGTGAGGTCGTGCTGAAGAGACGGATTGGCAGGGAGGACGAGAAGCTCAGTCTTTGCCAGGTTGAGCTGCAGGTGATGTTCCTTCATCCATGCCGAGATGTCCGCCAGACAGCTTGAGATCCGTACAGCTACTGTGGGATCATCTGGTTGAAATGAGAGGTAGAGCTGGGTGTCATCAGCATAGCAATGGTAAGAGAAACCATGTGCCTGTATGATGGGTCCCAGTGATGTAGCACATGCAGGTTTTCCACAAGACCATGTTGTCCAACGTTTTTTTTTCCCTGTGCCTTCTTTTTAAAGTGCACCTATTATTAAAAGGTTCCTAAGACTAAGATTCCTCAGGCTCTCATGCAATACCCTTTAATTTTTTCATAATATACATTGCACCTCACCTAATTTTTCAAAGCTGAAAACGGTTCCTTCGAAGATTCAGTCTCTCTAAACCCCTCCTTTCCACAAACCTACTCTGCTCGGATTGGTCAGATGTCCCAGTCTGTTGTGATTGGTCTACTCAGCTCTGAATGGTCAGATGTCCCAGTCTGTTGTGATTGGTCTACTCTGCTCGGATTGGTCAGATGTCCCAGTCTGTTGTGATTGGTCTACTCAGCTCGGATTGGTCAGATGTCCCAGTCTGTTGTGATTGGTCTACTCAGCTCTGAATGGTCAGATGTCCCAGTCTGTTGTGATTGGTCTACTCTGCTCGGATTGGTCAGATGTCCCAGTCTGTTGTGATTGGTCTACTCAGCTCTGAATGGTCAGATGTCCCAGTCTGTTGTGATTGGTCTACTCTGCTCGGATTGGTCAGATGTCCCAGTCTGTTGTGATTGGTCTACTCTGCTCGGATTGGTCAGATGGCCCAGGCTGTTGTGATTGGTCTACTCTGCTCGGATTGGTCAGATGTCCTAGTCTGTTGTGATTGGTCTACTCTGCCCGGATTGGTCAGATGTCCAAGTCTGTTGTGATTGGTCTACTCTGCCCGGATTGGTCAGATGTCCAAGTCTGTTGTGATTGGTCTACTCTGCCCGGATTGGTCAGATGTCCCAGTCTGTTGTGATTGGTCTACTCTGCCCGGATTGGTCAGATGTCCAAGTCTGTTGTGATTGGTCTACTCTGCCCGGATTGGTCAGATGTCCCAGTCTGTTGTGATTGGTCTACTCTGCTCTGATTGGTCAGATGTCCCAGTCTGTTGTGATTGGTCTACTCAGCTCTGATTAGTCAGATGTCCCAGTCTGTTGTGATTGGTCTACTCAGCTCTGATTGGTCAGATGTCCCAGTCTGTTGTGATTGGTCTACACTGCTCGGATTGGTCAGATGGCCCAGTCTGTTATGATTGGTCTACTCTGCTCTGATTGGTCAGATGTCCCAGTCTGTTGTGATTGGTCTACTCAGCTCTGATTAGTCAGATGTCCCAGTCTGTTGTGATTGGTCTACTCAGCTCTGATTAGTCAGATGTCCCAGTCTGTTGTGATTGGTGTATCACGTACCATATATGAATTACAGAAAACAGCATCACAATCTGCCATTGGTTGGTCAAACAGATAGTACCACCCCCAACTCATGCCATTGGTTGAGCCAATATTGCCATATTGGGCTGGATAAAATGTAACAATAACAATGTGATTTAATCTGTAATTCCAGCAGAAGCTCTATGCTAGCACTATTGGCAGATTTTGAAATATGACAGATGTAATGAATGTTTTTCAACTCTCATTTGCATAAAGTTGAACATGTCTCAACATGTTGATGCTCTAACTTGTTTCACTCTACTATCAATCCCACATTTCTCTTTACTCAATTCATGGGGGTGGGGGGCTTTTTTGTTTAAACCCATTGTAACTCTTGCCACTTTATTTATGTATTTTTGTTATGTTTGTACAAACTGAGAAACAAGTCAAAAAATGTTTTTGTGATATAGATTTTAGTCAATAAATGTAAATAAAAAAATACAAGCTTCACATTTTTCTGTTTAAACCCTCCAGAAGTCTTGCCCCATTGGCTTCCATTGTAACTGCATTACTGTAAAATGTTTGGTTTTTTTAGGTTTCGACAAACTGAGGAATTACTGAGTCAATTACTTTTGTAGTATATATATATATTTAAGTCAACTCTTGTAATTTTATTTTTAAATACAAACTTCATACAACAATACAAGCTTTTTTTCTTGTTGATTTGTATTTTTATATTTTTTTATAAAATATATATTTTTATTTATAAATAAAAATATATATTTATTTATAAATAAAAATATATATTTATTTATAAATACATTTATTTATAAATTTTTATTTATAAAATAAATTGAGGGAACTCCATTTATTTTATTATTTTTTGGGGGTAGTTGAAAGCATGTATATGGTCATTGCATGTATATCGCAGTTGATGCTCCATGGTTTTAGTGGAAAATGATCTGAAATATTTCTCAATGCACAAGTAGAAACTTCAAAACACCAAAAGTTGATAATATCTTCTGTTTGATTGGTCTTGTTTTATCTAACCTCCTCCTGAATCTTTTCAGACTGGTTCGGGAAAGACGTACACCATGGGCACGGGCTTTGACGTGAACATCGTGACGGATGAGGAGTTGGGAATTATACCACGGGCGATCGCCCACCTCTTCAGGGGTATCGAGGAGCGCAGACAGGCCGCCACAGAACAAGGGCGACCCGTACCCGAGTTTAAGATCAACGCCCAGTTCTTAGAGGTGAATAACAACCTCCACTGTTCTCTTGTGGTCTAGTTTCATCTAAGCTCTGGAAAATAGCAATCTTACGACTGACAGACGTGTTATTTCTGGTGTTAATGAAGGTGAAGATGTTGAGTTATCTCTCCATATCAGCACTGAGGTTTAAATTCATCCTCTGATTGGGTTAGCGGAGCTGCCATCATGTCGGCATGCAAAGGGTGGTGTTGACAGAGCGCCACAAATAACACGCCTGTCGTACCATTGGCAGGCGTTAGAGATTTTAGCATGCATGTCTGAACTTGGCTAATTAATTACCCAACCACTCCTGCATGTCTATAACTGTCTAAGGTGCAGTGTTTTGTTTCATAGTTGTACAATGAGGAGGTGCTGGACCTGTTCGATTCGACTCGAGATGCTGAGGCCCGCAAGCAGAAATCCCACATTAAGATCCATGAAGATGCCAATGGAGGAATTTACACAGTGGGAGTCACAACACGAACCGTTAGCTCAGAAGCAGAGGTTGGCTTTCTACTAGGGTTTGCAGACATGTCTTGAGCCTCTCTGCACTTGCTCAAATTGATTTTTAAAATGTGTTTTTATTCAAATGAAGCTCACATGTGTTTTCAGGGATCCCCCCCCCCTCGAAAAATAAACCGCTATCTTTATTTTATAAATGATCCAACTTACTATTTTAAACGTACCTTAAACTGACGATCAAAACTATGAAAAGTCCCACAGACTTTCATTTGAAGGGGTCAAAACTTTCATACAATAACTCTAATTGAGTTAAGCTTTATCCATCAAGTATCTATCACTAGCAAAGTCTAGCAACTAGCTTAGGAGATGCTAGCAATTTGTTAAATCATGCTAGCAACATGCTTAAACATACTAGCTATGTGTTAAGACACACTAGCATTTAACAACATGTTAGTGTTTTGGTAAGACATGCTAGTAACATGCTAATTCATGCTGGCAATGTATTAAAACCTGCTACAAACATGTTAGCAAAATGTAAAATAATGCTAGACACATGCTAAGACATGCAAACAACACGATAAATCATGTTAGGAAGCTTATCAAACTTTCAGACAAGGCTTTGGCTAGCCAGCATAAAAGTTTGTCCCAACCAACTTTACTTTCTAGATATACTTCATTTTAGATATACTTCATTTTTATTTATACGTTAATTTTAGCATTTAAAAAAAGTTTTTCAGTTTTGTTTATAAAAATAAATGTGTGTTATGTTTATTAGTCATATTTTGTTTAGATTTGTTAATACAAAATCCTCTTTAAGGTAATTAAATCGTTTTTTTTTTTTTTTTTTTTTAACATTTGATAAAAATACAATTTTTGTCATTTTATAAAAAATTATTGTTAGAAAAAAATAACTATTAGAAATCCCTGGTTATGATTTTTTTCATTAATATAAAATAAAGTTTTTCAAATAAAGTAATTCAAATATAAAAACATTTATATTATTTATATAGTAGTCTAGTAACTTATATTAATATTTCTATAAATAATTTAAAAACGTTTATCAGGGTTTTTTTTTTAGTTTATTGGTTCATCAATGAATGTTATGCTACATTGTTTCTACATCACTATCAATCGCTAAGTTATCTCAGTGCCGATCACCGAATTCTCTTCTCTGTCTCTTTCAGATGCTGCAGTGTCTCAAATTGGGCGCTCTGTCCCGCACCACCGCCAGCACTCAGATGAATGTCCAGAGCTCACGCTCCCATGCCATCTTCACCATCCACCTGTGCCAAGTTCGCGTCTGTGCCTCAGACAATGTAGGTTGTCAAATCTCCCACAGCTGGAAAACTTGTGTTTCTTGTGCTATTCAGTTATTTCACTTAGTCATATTCATTTCAATGATGACAACCTAGTCAAACTGTTAAAAGCTGTAATAATATAATCTAACTGCAGAGAACATCCTTCAGTTTTTCATTTTATGTCGCTTTTCCAGGACACCGAGAGCGATAACAGACTGGTGAATGGCTCCACAGAGATGAATGAGTTTGAGACGCTAACGGCTAAGTTTCACTTTGTGGATTTAGCCGGCTCTGAGCGACTGAAGAGAACAGGGGCCACAGGGGACCGGGCCAAAGAGGGCATCTCTATCAACTGTGGACTGGTAAGAACAGAAGTTAAAGTGGAAAGTGGCATGAACAATAAAATACTCACAGTTTCTCACAGTATTGCTACAAGACCTGTGTCGTTAACATGATTTCAGTATGATAAGTCGCTTAATAACCTTTTCTGTGTTTAGTCATATCCAGTTTTGCTACAAAACAATATTAAAGGATAGAATGAAGTAATATTGGGTATTGAATTATTATAAAGTATAATTATTTAAGCATGTTTACAGGATCTCTGGGAACTGGACTGATATACAGTATTAGTAAAATGAAGAGAGCTAAAATCTGGCAATAAAGACACCTGGGAAGTTTGATATTCCACATTACATCCATTCAAATGCACCTTCTGCAAGTGCGACTGCCACCTGGTGGCTTTCGGAGAACAAACACGCCATTACATTTTTTTATCATTTTTAATTATTTTACTTTTGTAATATTGTACTGTAAAGTAAAAAATCTGTATTTAAACTGAAGGCTGTTTTTTTTTTTTGCTGTGAAACACAAATGTATAAGAATCTTCATGCAGGTCTTGCCGAAAGTTTATCAAGCTCCTATTCTATAAATCAGAATTTATAGTGTATTTTTGAAACATTTATGTATTCTGGAGCTTGATGTGCCATGTATCTTTGTTTCCATAAAACAAAATGATAACAGCATGCAGGTTTGAAACAATATGATCGCGAGTAAAATTACTATATTTATTTCTGATTGAATGATTCTTTTAATGTGAGTCATTTTGCTGCTATCGCCTCTGATAACTAATAATTTTGGCTTTGTTTTGTGGTGGTAAAGTTAGCTCTGGGCAATGTGATCAGCGCTCTGGGTGACAGGAGCAAACGCTCCTCACATGTGCCTTACCGAGACTCCAAACTCACTCGCCTGCTTCAAGATTCCCTGGGAGGAAACAGGTACATTTTCCCCATTTCTTTTTTTTTTTTTAGACATTTTATTAGGCCCTAATCCAGGTATTTCTGCCGTTTTTAGTTGTTGTTTTTTTTCAAATGTTGCTTCTCCCTTGTGACCTCCAGTCAGACGACGATGATCGCCTGCATCAGTCCGTCAGACAGAGACTTCATGGAGACCCTGAACACGCTGAAATATGCCAACCGCGCTCGCAACATCAAGAACAAAGTGATGGTGAACCAGGACCGGGCCAGTCAACAGATCAGCGCTCTGAGAACAGAGATCGCCCGTCTGCAAATCGAGCTCATGGAGTACAAGACGGTTTGTGCTGCGATGTTTAGTCCAGATTTTTTTCAAGTTTGTATCCGAATTTCACTTTAATGTGTATAATATGTTATGTAAATATTATATTATTATATTGGAACTTAGTTTTCCTAATTTAAATGAGTAGAATTATTATTTGTAATAATTTTAATTAAACAAATTTAAAATGACAATAATATGTTAAATTGTATGTATTTTTGAAACAGGGCAAGCGTATGGTTGGCGAGGATGGACTGGAAAGCATCAATGACATGGTGCATGAGAACTCCATGCTGCAGACAGAAAACAATAACCTGCGTGTACGAGTGAAGGCAATGCAGGAAACCATCGACGCCCAGAGAGCCAGACTCACCCAGCTACTGAGCGACCAGGCCAACCAGACCCTCGCCAGAGCAGGTACCCACAGGCCCTGTTTACACCTGCTATTAAGATCGGATCACAAGTAGACGAGGGAGACGGATAGCCGTTTACAGATGGAGTTTTAATCCGCTTTTGTCCACTTTCAACCACTTCTGTCCTGATTTCTTCGAGGGGAGGGTCTATGGGCGGGTAATGCATGTGTTTTTTCAGACCTTTCAATCTAATGGATGAAATAAGCTCTCGCAATGTACATATGAACGCGGTCAGAGGAAAAAACACAGAGAACATTCTTTCGTTTCTGCACTGATAGCCGCAAGACCACACCGAACACCGCATGTGCGTGTTAGAAATCTGGAATGGTGAGAGAACATTGTGTTTGGTATGTTTTTCAACCTCAAACCAAACTTGGGTTTTCAGCCGACAAAGTTTAAATCCCACATCTGGCTAGCGCGCTTCCCTTAATGTTTACACATCAGGTCAGTTGGCTGAGAGTAGTTGGTCTTTTGTGGCTGTTTAAACACATTCGACCACGTGAGCGTCTACCCGTTTACACCTGTATTTAGCGTCGTCCACTTGTGATCCGATTGACTAAAACGCATCTTAATACCAGGTGTAAACAGGGCCACAATGACATAAATTAAATATCAGATCTTTTAGATAATGCTTAGCATTAATAATACATAGCAAGACACATCAAATGTCCCCTCAACTCAGTATGAAACACTTTACAATAAGGTTTTGTTTGTTAACATGAACTAACAATGTTTGTAATGGATTTATTAACCTTTCTTAATGTTAGTTAATTAAATTTCATGTTATAGTTCACACTGCATTAACTAATGCTAACAGATACAGTACATATTTTGGTCTTAAAAATGTATTAGTAATGCTAAGATTAACATTAGTTAAATTTAATAAATGCATTAGAAGTATTGTTGTATTATTAGTATTGTAAACTAATGTTTCATTTGAAACCTTATTGTAATTTTTTACCAGTGCAACTTTATTTGGACTCTTTCTGGAGCATGGTGGGAAGTTAATAATATTGCTTTTTTTCACAATACTGACTATTTGTCATGTTTAAACACTGCAGTGGTATCCAAATTGTTTTAAGAAAAATTATCAAATGTATATTTTTAATATTGAGAAATATAAGTGTATCAATAACTATAATTCAGCGGGTAGTTCCAAACAGCATATCCGTTACCCATTCTGTTGTTTTGTTTTCTTAAAATTCAATAATTTAATTATTCTGTATGTTTAATGTTTACCACCAGAAAATGACAAATACATATAATTTGGTTTTAATTGTTATCAGACTTATTGTGGTAACAGGGTTGTAATTTGTAAACCGGGTTAGTATCAGGCTTGAATACTCAAAAACATAAAACTTCATATAATATTTAGTTTGATATTCTGAAGTGGATAACTTTTGTTATGGAGATTAAGCACTTCCTTTTACTGACCTTTTTGATCAAATGTGAATCACCTACACAATGTGGATTATTTCCTTGCGCTGGTTTTACATAACCAACAAAAAAATTAATTACTTGGCTAAAACAATTGAATTACCCAAACTTTTTTTACAGGTGAAGGAAGTGAAGAGATCGGAAACATGATCCACAATTATATCAAAGAGATTGAGGAGCTCAGGTAATGTATGCAAACACAGTACGCCCATATCTTAGAAGTTTTTAAACATCTGTATGTGTAATGTTTGTGTGTTGTGTGCTCTTTAGGGCAAAGCTATTGGAGAGTGAAGCTGTGAATGAAAACCTGCGGAAGAACCTGTCCCGCGCCTCCACCCGCTCCTCATTTTACGCCGGCCCGACTTCCATTACCCCCGGCCACCTTGCACCTGAAAAAGATGCCGCAGACATCATAGAAATCGCAAAGAAAGACCTGCAGAAACTGAAGAAAAAGGAGAAGAAGAAAAAGAAGAGGTAAGCTACTGACATTGATGGAACATGAAACTCGGATTTCCTTTTTCTCCTTGGACAAAGGAGGGTGTGTCAGGGATTGTTTTGATCTGCTGTATGCCTCCAATATATGGTGTACAATTTCTATGCTTCCTCACTGCATCTTCATTGTTGATGAGTTGCTCTCGATAGCAAACGTTTGAAAAATCCTCTCATTTTTGTCTTTTCTATTGCTTTGGTAACAACAGCTTCTCTGATTGGTGGATCTCACTATAGAATTGTGGGTAATGTAGTACTTCACCAGTAATTCTGAGTGCGCTGATGAAGTATTTTTGTAGGCCAACACGGAAGTTAGCATCACCCTGGATCACATGGCAAAAATCCAGTAGGATTTTTCTTTTGGCCTTTGGATTATTGCAGAAAATAAGCTTTGTGACCAACAAAAGTTTTGTTAGTCATGATAATTTTCACAAATTAATACAGCTTGAATTTTGAAGCCAGAAGAAAAAAGCTAAAAGCGGGCTATAAACCATGCTCTGTCACTTTCACTTAGCTTCCTTCGGCCAACCATTTCTGTCTTTAGTTAAAAATAATAATTAAAAAAAAAAACATATTCCCTGGAAGTTTAAATTAGAATAGAACCCATTATGTCACTCCCCACTCTATACTGGGGAGGTTTGTTTACATCAGATCCTTTTATTCAGAAAACAAAAGAAAAAGCTTCAAAGTATATGAATTTGGAAGTATTCCTGTTCCTCACGTGTTCTTCTCTGCATCATCTTTGGCACTGCGGTTCCTCTTACTCTCACCTCTCACCCCCTCACTCTTGAAGACTTCAGCAGATGGATGAAGGTGCTCATGAAGATCTTGAGAACGCCAGGTTGGAGAATGTCATAAAATGCTGTTGTTCCACTAACCGTATAGTCACCGCACCCTGGAAAACTTGACCCATTGCTCTTCCCTCTTCTTTTCTCTAATATAACATGATAAACGTCAATGGTTTAAAGGTTTAGAATCTGTTTCAAAACCTAGTGAGCTGCCTTGCTGTCTGTTGTCTACGTAGTCAGCTACCTTAGTTGAAAGAGAGCCCTATAAGTAAATGACCTTAAACATGCAGCAACTCCAAATAGCACTCCTCGAGAGTTTGGTGTTAGCGTGTTGCTAAGCTAACAATGTGTTACTAAGAAAACAACAATGGTAAGTACAAAAGTAGAATAGAAGTCCATTTGTAATCAGATTGAGCTATTCTTATTGATTCTTGTCAACTTTGAGTGACTTCTAAGTATTAAAGATAAGATTTTCTCTCAGATTAATGTTAGCATGTTGCTAGGCTAATGAACAAAGCATAAAACTACATAGCACACACAAATAGATGTCTTGTCTGAAAAGAAATTACAGTGTGGGATCTGGAATTGCCTTATCCTTGAAGTGATGCTGCCTTTGAAGTATAGTTATGCAGCATAGTTATGCTACCTACTCTGTTGGGAGCACATCTATGTTGCCTTAAAATGCTGTCTAGATATGTAGCTCACTAAGATTTGGAACAAAGCTCTTTCATTCTCTGTTGGGTTTTATTCTAGAGCCCTTTAAGGTGTGTAATCAACTCATATTCACGACACGTTTGATCAATATGTGATGTCGCTTCAGAGTTTAACAGTAGCCAATAATAAAGCGCAACTGATTCACTAACACTGACTGATTTAATCAGTTATTAACAGATCTTGGAATCTAGTGATTTAAAGACCCCATGAAATTTGAAGTTTTGGACTCCCCTTCAATATACAGTACATTAACACTGCAAAGTAAATGTGATTGTCAACAATTCCATGAGGTCTTTTAGTAGATTGCGGCAATAAATTTGACATTTCATGACATTTTTCTGATGTTACAGTGTCATAAAGGAGGAGGGGCCAGATAACGAGCAGGATAAAGAGGCCTCCGAGAGAGCCAATGAAGAGCCAGAAATGGTCAGTTAAAAACTCACCCTTGTGTGTTCAAAAGATATGCTGATTTAAATTTGTTCTTTTTTTTTTTACTGTCCCTGGGATTCTACAAGGCAAAACATTGTTTCTAATAATCCCAATACTTCTGTAGGATGGGAGTGATCATGATGAAGGTGAGGAAGCCGAGGGTGAGGAAGAGGAGGATGAGATGGAAGTGGATAGCTCTGATGAGTCTGACTCTGAGCTGGAGGAAAAAGGTAAAATTCATGCTTTTAATTTGTATTGGCCAGGTCTTTTTTTTTAATTTAAGTTATGGAAGCTTGTTTCCGCAACGAAATATATAAAAAAATGTAAAGATTTGGTTTTCCACAATTCCAATTTTTTTTCTCACAACTGCGAGTTTAAATATTTCAATACTGAGTGTTTTTTAAGCGATTGCGAGTTTATATCTCGCAATTTTGACTTATTTTCTCAGAATTGCGACTTTATTTCTCTGAACTGTGAGTTTATATCTTGCAATTCTGAGAAAGTCATAAATGCGAGATGTAAACTCGCAACTGCAAGAAAAAAAGTCAGAATTGTGAGATAAAAAGATAATTATATTTTAAATTGCTTTATTATGTGGCAAAAACAAGCTTCCATAATAAGTCTTGCAGAAAATTGCATTTGATTTTTTTTTTAAACTCTTAATGTAAGAATAAAAATAATATAATGGACACCCTAGTGGAAAAAAACCTAGTACAGTAAAAATCCTTGACAAATCACTTGACACTTCCTGATATACATATTAAAATTCAACTTTATTTGGAGTACTTCTTTATTGCACAATACACATTTAATATCAATATTAATATTTTAAATTAAGGGAATACATATATAAATGTATTTAAATTTTATAGTATACTTATCATAAAATAAATGCATTTCAAATACATGTTGGTATATTTATTTTTCACTAGGACATAATATACAGTATATTTAAAGCTATGATAATATGTTCTGTCAATCTAGATTGCTATACACATAATGAAATATAATTTATTAAACTATTAATTTTAAACACAATTTTTAAATTGCATTTTAATTATTTAATTTGATCAACTCTTGTTCTTGTTGAATAAAAAACAACATTTCTGTGTATTTTGTGTGTTGACAGAGGACTTCCAGGCAGATCTGGCCAACATTACATGTGAGATCGCCATCAAACAGCGGCTGATCGATGAACTGGAGAACAGTCAGAGACGTCTGCACACGCTCAAACAACAGTATGAGCAGAAACTCATGATGTTGCAGAGCAAAATCAGGGACACACAGCTGGAGAGAGACCGCGTACTGCATAACATGGGTACAAAACACAATCATACACACATACGCAAGCATAATTAAGCAATTTATACTAATATGCGAGTATAAGCACTTCAAAAACATGACTATCTATCAAACGTTTGGAATGTTTTAATGTTTTGAAATAAGCCTCTTATGCTCACCAAGGCTGCATTTATTTGATCAAAAATACAGTAAAAATCATCAACTTTTGACTGGTATAGTGTAAATGAAATTATGCACCTGCAACCTCAGTCTTTTAGTACATCTGTACTGCCCTCTTCTGGTTTGTTTTGGAAACAGCTTGAATGAAAATGCAAATGCACAAATAATAATAATTATTAAAAAACGTTAGAGGCCTTTTTCACACTGCACTCTTAAAGCAAACTGTTAGCACAGCGTAAGTGGCACTGCCGCGTAACTGTAGAAGCGTGACGTTTCTGTTTGAAGTTGAGATTTCACATTTCTATACAGGCTCAGTGGAGACATGTACGGAGGAGAAAGCAAAGAAGATTAAATCGGAATACGAGAAGAAGCTAAACTCCATGAATAAGGAGTTGCAGAAACTGCAGTCGGCACAGAAGGAGCACGCACGCCTGCTGAAGAACCAATCACAGTACGAGAAACAGCTAAGGAAACTACAGCAGGAAGTGACTGAGATGAAGAAAACCAAGGTACCGTATGTTTGTGGATTTTTACTGTTGCTCATACTAAAGGGTAGTTCAAGCTGATCCGGGGAACCATCACTGTACTGTGTCTAATCGTTTGTTATGATGGTGACTCTGTTGCGTTCAGGTTGGTCTGATGAAACAGATGAAGGAGCAACAGGAGAGGAACCGAGTCACAGAGACCCGCCGCAACCGAGAGATCGCCACACTTAAGAAGGACCAGCGCAAACAGGAGGTGACACACTGTACCCTGAACAGCCCCAGAGAATTATGGGATATTCTCAGATACAATCCCTGCTCATTCTCTCCTTTTGTTTTGTCTTTCTTGTCTCGTTTAGCACCAACTGAGGCAGCTTGAGGCTCAAAAGAGGCAGCAGGAGCTTGTTTTACGCAGGAGGGCAGAGGAGGTGACAGAACCTGGATTATTTGGGAATTACAATGTTTTGTTACAAAAGCGCTGGTTTGATGGCTGTAGCTGGTTGAAGGGAGTTCCACCAAAGCGGGTTTTTTTCTTTTCTCGAGTCTAGCGTATTCTTCCAATTATTTTTAACGGAAGCGTCATATTTTTAAAACGTCAGCAACGAGGCATTGGTCGTTTTCTTACCGGTCGCCGAGAGTTGAAGAATGTTTAACTTTGGGTAAAACACATCGCTCATCACTAGCTACATTTTCATTATAGATTTGCGCAAAACTTTTGCGATATTTTCAAAATGTCGATAAAAACTATTGCGAAATGACGGCATTTCTATTAATCGGTGTTATTAGAATCCAGTATTCCCGTAATTCGTTTAATAAGACGAGTAAAGTCTTCTGTCCAAACACACTGCGCCTTCTTTAAAAAATGATCGACTTTTACGTACGCCAGGCGACCTGTAAATACGGAAAAAGAAACTGTTTCCATTGCAGTTTTGCAAAATATTCCTTTTTCGAATTACCTGAAAAACCACCTCATGCGAGCGTAAAAACTTTTTTGCGGTATATGGGAGTATTCGCAAAATTTACGTGTTTCCATTAAGCGTATTTTCAATTTGCAATTTCAATTTGCGCAATTTGAAGGGTAATGGAATTGCGGCTACTGTCACTGGTTTCCCAGCCGTCCAATCACAGTGGAGGAGGGGCGGGACAAATACCACATCGTCACATTCTGCTTGTACAACAATTGCAAACGACAGCAACAAGCACATCTCTTCATCCAAAACGAGTGGAATTGTTACATTATGTTGACATTTTTATATTCAGAAACAAACTATTTGCGAAATCGGATACTAGTAACAGTTCCGTATCATAGCACATATAGCGTCTCAAATCGCAGGTGTTTTCAGCTGGCTTAAAATGCTTTGGTGAACACACAGCCTTAGAGACTCAACTTCTCAGAGATAGTTTTAACATAGTCTTATGAGTTTGGACTGAGATTAGCATTAGTAAATGATGATAGTATTTTAATTTTGGGGTGCACTAACCCCTTTAATCATTCACAGTATAACACCTAGAGAAAAAATATTAAGATTTTTGATTTGTAAAAGTTTTTTCCTGCTTCTTTGAATCAGATATCTGCCCTGAGACGCCAAGTGCGACCAGCATCAGGCAAGGTTAACCGCAAGATCAGTTTACCAGAGCCTTTGCAGGAGTCTTCACCCCGTGCGACTCCCATCCGACCACAAACCACCGGGGCCATGACTTATAACGGGACGAGGTAACGTGTGAGGTTTCATTTCAGATGGGTTGGCTCATGAGTGTTTGAGTGACTGATGTGGTTATGATATTTGTATTGAAGAAGGTACCAGATGAGAACAGGAGGAGTGTACTTTACCAGAACAGCACGGGCCAAATGGCAGTCGCTAGAGCGTCACATTAGTGACATAATCATGCAGAGGATGACCATCTCCAACATGGAGACCGAAATGATCCGCCTACTTAAGGTGACTCAGAACTTTTATTATTATATTATTATTTTATTATGAAAACTTAGGACAAATGGATAATGCTAATCAGATGAAAAACTGTAAACTTTTTCATTTTAAGCGAATTCGAGATTGGGTTAATTGACAAATCATTCGCTTAATTCTGTACAGCAACGTGAGGAGCTGACCAAACGCAGAGAGAAGGTGACGAAAAAGAGGGACAAGATCGCCAGCGAGGACACGGACGCCGACAGGACCGTCGTCTCTCTTAATGAAGAGATGGAGTCGCTGACCGCCAACATCGACTACATCAACGACAGCATCGCCGACTGCCAGGCCAACATCATGCAGATGGAAGAGGCCAAGGTACGTGTGAGAAACAGGAAATGTCAAGTCAAGTCACATTTATTTATATAGCGCTGACCTAATTTATGCAGCCTAATGATGTCACACCCTGAGAGTACATACAGTAAAATGATAATAATCTAGCAGCAGACCCTGTTTATGATGAGAAAAAATGTATTGCGGGTCAGAAATGTTTGATTCATTGGCTCAAAATCGCTTCACTTTAGGAGGAGGGAGATACAGTGGACGTCTCTGCTGTGATCAGCTCGTGCACGCTATCAGAGGCCCGTGTCCTGCTCGACCACTTCCTGTCAATGGCCATCAATAAGGTACGGGAGCTCAGTAGATTTTCATTTTGAAATTAGAGATGCTTAATATATTAATAATCACTGGTCAATATTAGTACTTTAACATAATTTGAATAAATTATCGTCATTTGGTTTCAAGAAAAAAAATATTTACACATAATTCTTATTTTGATTACATTTTTAATAATATAATATACCATTACATAACATAATATAATGTACAGTTTGGATACTACTGGATAGTGTACATTTTATGTTTTGACTTATGGCTTAGGGCTTTCAAGCCGCACAGAAGGAGTCTCAGATCAAAGTGATGGAGGGCCGTTTGAAACAGACGGAGATAAACAGCGCCACACAGAACCAGCTGCTCTTCCACATGCTCAAGGAGAAAGCCGAGCTCAACCCTGAGCTGGACGCCCTGCTCGGGAACGCTCTTCAAGGTCTGACATGCGCAAACACACGCTCATGTACAGCTGCTTGGTGTTTTCTTCCTTTTAAGTTTGATTTTGATTTGCTTTTGTCTTTTTGTTGCCTGAATTCAAACAGAACTAGGTAACGTGCCATCGGGTAAGTAGAGGCATCTAGAGCTGGCCCACCAGTGCATGTGTCTCCCTCAGACTAACAGCCAGTAACAGTAGAGCTGCATGGGTCTTGCCTAAACCCCCTGTGGACTTTACTCTGTGAAGAACATGCCTTTCAACTGTAAAAGAGCTTCTAATAAAGACCCATGGAGGACGTAGACTAGTTCAGCTGTTATTAGTTTGTAATAGTGTTAAATTCAGCTCTAAATCCAGTATTATACTGTATAATAATAATAATAATTAACATTTTAATTAACAATAACACAATATTTAGTGCTGGGCAAACTAATCGCGATTAATCGCATCCAAAATAAAAGTTTGTGTTTACATAGCACTCCTTATGTAATGATATTTTAATAGCACATTAATAAGAATGGTTATCATTTGCACATTTCAAATATTTAAACTTCAGCCAGTGATTAATTTGTGTAAAAATTATATATTTTATCGATGTAAAAACATGTTTAATAATGTTTAAACAGTGCGTATGATGTTTAGTGGTGCATATAAATGAAAAGTTAAATACTGTCATTCTTCTGTGTGTTTATTTAGAAAAAAAAAAGACAGGTGTAAAACGTGCCTCAATTGTTTTATTATTATTATTATCATTACTTCTTGCTTTAAGCATTTTTGTCACATTTTAAATCTACTTAGTAAAAAATGGATGATGGCTTTATATGATGAACATGGTACAAATGCAGCCGAACTACATATTTACCCACTAGTTTCCTTTTTCTACGTCTGCCATAGTGACCATACATCCTTCAGAAATGTGTTTGCATCCCTAATGCTGGTGTCCTGGCTGTAGACTGAACACACTTCCTCTTTTCTAGTTCTGTTGAATTCAGGGTTGTGATAACAACACTATGATGCATGTCGCTTGAATAATAATGTTTACTGACATACACTGACAAGCTAAAATGAGAGAGCACTGGTGTTTCTAATGTTGAAGTGTGTGTGGGTGTGTGTGTGTGTTTGCTCAGAAAACGGTGATGAAAGCAGCAGTGATGAATCAGCACAGAGTCCTGCCACAGAGAAAAGGTAAGGCACTACAGTCAGGCCTATAAAGCTCTATAAACTGAATTGTAAATCTGTCTTGGTGTCTATAAAACACAGTCAACTGATTCTGTTATTGATCTAACGGAGTCTTTGGTGAATAATACTTTAAGCTACCTTTTGAAATTGCTTGTTGTGTGCTTTTTATTATCAGCAATAAGTTATTCAGCCTCATTTCAATCATTGTCAGTGTCTTTCAGAAATTTGTAATTTCATTTTCAACTTTAACATTTTTGTCTGACATTAGAATATTTGTCTCTTGCAGTTGTTTGGCTTCAGATCTCATGAAACTTTGCGGAGACACAAAAGTCAGAAATAAGGTAGAACAAACTAAAGAAATTATACACGCACACATACACACATGTATAGTATATATAAAAAAAGATGCTATGCCATTAAAAGATTTGGGTCAATAAGGTTTTAATGGTTTTGAAAGAGATCTGTAATGCTCAACTTGGCTGTATTTAATTGAGCAAAAATACTGAAAGAAAAAAAACAGTAATATTGTGAAATATTATAATTCAAAATAAGTTATCTATTTTGATATGTTCAAAAATTTAATTTATATCTATAATGGCAAAGCTGAAAAAGCTTTGTGTGTGTAAATAATGTGTAAATAATATATATATATATATATATACTCACACACACACTAAAACACATTGATCTTTTAAATTAGCCTGTTTGGTTTTATATTATTTACTTCCTACTACGTTGCTCACATAATTATGCTTCAACTATAAACATAGAATAACAGTTTATAAAAAAAAACCCAATAACAGCAGCCCTCATTATATTCATTGAGGGAAAAAAGTTATGTTGAGGACATAAATTGAAATCATGAGACATTTTCCTCACTTCTAATTTAACATACTATAACTAAAGTATTTGTACTCTTTGTTTTCATATACGATGAATTTAGGCTCGCAGAAGAACTACCACCCAAATGGAGCTGTTGTACGCCAACACTGGTGACCCTGATGCCCCTCCAGAGGATTTCTCTGCCGCTCTACTTCCTGTAGTGGAGAATCCTGAGGGAAATAAAGAACCGGCCCCTGTTCCCCACTTAGGGGACAGAGACTCAATGGCCTTATCCTCTAGCTTAGCATTAAAGACAAATGCTGTGTAAGTGATTGGTGAAAAGATATATATTTTGGTTCAAAGAAAGAAAGAAAAATGTATTTTCACTATTATTACTGATACTTATACTGTATGGGATAAAGGACATGAAGTGTATTTCACAATGCCTATGAACAAGGCTAATGAAATTAGTTTTTTCTAGTCAAAACTAACAGTTATAAAACACATTTTATTGGGGACATGTTCATATGATCACTACAGCTAAATAAAGCGTGGCAAATGCCTTCACCATAACATCTCCTCTAGCATTACAGTCACGTCTGATGTGAAGTTTTTAAGTCGCGCTGGCTTTTGTCTACTGTGTAGCTCCAGTGCCAGATCTCCCACGGCTACAGAAAAGAAGCTTGTGGACCGCTCGCCTCTCACCCGCAGAAGAGTTCAGGACAGGAGCCAGAACCCTGCAGACAAAACCAGAACCCTGGACAAACCGTAAGAAACTAGCTTTACATAAATTCCTCCTTCCAAACATCTTTGCTAAATTTGTTTACAGATGTTCTAAATCTCTTGCATTGCTAAAGTGAACGTCCATACTGTCGTTCAGTGAACAAGAACAAAGTTTACTAAGGCGAGCATCAATAGCATAGGCTACTAATACTAATAATTAGCATTAGCTGTCCCATGTAGCAGGACTCTGGCAACCATCCAAACAACCAAAAAAGCACATAGCAAAATGCTAAAAACCACTTTAGCAACCACCTAGAACAACAACATAGCAACGTTATAAAGCACTTAGCATTACAAAACCACTTTAGCAAGTTTTGACTAAAAAATTAAGTTCTGGGACCGAGGTTGTATTAAAACCCAAAGATAGCTGGGGTTTTTTAATAGCGTCTATCACTCCATTTCAAAACATGTTTTATACATGTCATAAATACTATTAATATTATTGCCATAGAATTTGGTCATAACATAAGTAGGTATCTTAAAATGCTTAATGTTGCATTTAAAATGTTGCAACCAACCTTTTAAGGTGCGGTCACTTTAGCTAAATCTTATGGGCTAAAATGGTCCATTGTCTATTGTACGATTATGTGGATTGCTATTGAGAAGACTGGATTTCACCCATGAAAATTTGGATTTTTGCTGGCGAAATCCAGTTATTTCAATAGAAATCCAAACAATTTGCGTGAGGATGAAAGATTTCACCTACAGAGATTTCAAGAATTGTTGAAGTTGGGCAAGTGAATTCTCTGCGTTGACCAACAGAAAGCTGTTTGCTTTGAAAGTAACCTCTATGTGAGCTGTGCTTCGTACAGTTGAACATCTTTCGCCCTCACACGAAATTTCCAGTCCCGTGGATTCCAATTGAAATGAATGGATTTTGCCGTGAAAAAAAAGAACAATGGTAATTGTGGCCACACCTCTAGAACAACCTATGATGCCTAAACAGAGCCAGTGTATTTTGTTTGGTTTGATTGAGCGTTTCATGCATTATTACTGTGTGTTTTTTGGTCCAGAGGTGCGGTAAGCCCAGTTCAAGCGTCCCGCTCCAGCCGAGCATCCAGACTGCAGTGTGTGCACGTGGCCGAGGGTCATACCAAACCCTTGCTGTGTGTGGACTCAACTGATGATCTGCTCTTCACCGGCTCAAAGGGTCAGACACTGATCTTAATTTTTTTTTTAACCAGCCATAGATGCAAGGAATTTCAAGTTGTTACCCATAATGCATTGCCAGTATATACCCCCTACAAGAATTCCAAATAAACATTGTGTTCTATCCGCACCCATTCCTCGTCTCAGATCGCACATGTAAGGTGTGGAACCTGGTAACGGGTCAGGAAATCATGTCTCTTGGAGATCATCCCAGCAGTGTAGTGTCGGTCCGATACTGTTCCAGCCTGGTCTTCACCGTCTCCACTGCTTATGTCAAAGTATGGGACATCCGTGACTCTGCCAAATGCATTCGCACCCTCACGTGAGTCATTCTGGTACTGTTTCATATATTAAAAACCACTGTTCTCTAAAGCTTCTAAATATTTTACCTATGGTTGCTCATTTTTAGCCCTCTGTCTCCTTTAGTTCTTCTGGACAAGTGTCCCAAGGTGACACGTGTGGGAGTAGTTCTGTTGCCATTCCACCAGGAGAAAATCAGATCAATCAGATCGCCCTCAATCCTTCCGGCACATTCCTTTATGCTGCTTCAGGCAACACGGTCAGGATGTGGGACTTGAGAAGGTATGACCGATTTTACCTTGAGTGTCTAGAAGTTCTTCTCAGTGCTAAAAAGGGACTAATAAGAAATGCCCGTGGGTAGAGTCATCTTCAAATATACAAATTAAACTGTATTTGATGGTACTCATGTAGTATAAGCTTTAACTAACTAGATTCTCTTCAAACTCCACCACAGTTGTAGCCTGGATGCCAGCCCGAACCCCGCCCACAACATTTTTTGATCGGGAAGTTCGGTCTGGACTCGCTCCATTGAGGAGTAATTATGATCGGTTCAGAAATCGTCGGGCCAATCAAATTGCCAGGGCGGGCTTTATATGATGATGGACAGATGATCTGCAGGGACGTAATCCTCACGTTATCAAAGAGCGCTTGGGTTGAACTGGTTTCCCTCAGAGATGACTGCCGCTGGAGAATTGATATGTATAGATTCCGCTATCGCGTCTGTTGTAAAAGAAATCGACAGCGCATTCATTTTAAAAGACGAACAGAGAACTGCAATCAAGGCATTTGTCGATCGGAAAGATGTGTTTGCCGTCCTTCCTACGGGATTCGGCAAAAGTTTAATTTATCAGCTGGGTCCGATGGTAACTAAGAAGATGGGACGCAATGAAAACCCTGTGGTCGTTGTAGTTTCTCCTTTGGTCGCACTCATAGAGGGCCAAGTAAAAGAAGCAACACTCGTTATTTTACTTCTTCCAGCGTGCGTGCATTTGAGTTCTGTAGTTGACAACTGTGCTATGCAAAGTAGTTGACTTACTGCGTTGCTCTCATTGGTTGTAGGTCTATCCAATTGAGTGCAGAGTTTTTTTTTTTCCTGGTTCGGTTAAGACACGCCTCATAATCAAAGCCCTATGAAGCAGTATCAGACTCACATTCTGACTAGAATATGAGTATGACGAAGTCAGGCTACCACAGTTGACCTTAAAGAGAAAATGGATCGTAGAAGACGGGTAACCTGGGGTGTGTTTCCCAAAAGCATTGTTAATCAACCATGGACTTCCGTTACCAACATTTGATACTGTGTTTCTGGAAATCATTGTTCCAGTGAACATTCAACGCACAGTGTGTTTTGCAATTGTGTGTGGTTGGAGCATAGTTTCTTGCTAGTATGACATACAGACTTAGGGTGCTTTCATACTAGCACTTTTGGTTCACACCTTGGTTCGTTTTGTTTGGATGATTTGAGCACTGTTTTCCAAACTCTCGTGTGCACCCTCGAAAGTGAACCACTGATGATGAAGTATGATTCAGTAAAACTGTGTTTGTGTGTGTTCTTCTCGCTCACTGACAAGCGGGACTAATGCAGTGCAAGCTGAGAGAATGCATATCTCATTTTTTGCTTGTCTTCAGCAGAAATGGACGTTCTTTAGAACATTTGCAGAGCATTTAGCTCAGATAGACACACAGGCCGTTATGTGTTGACGGTTTGGAAACAATACTAAAGGTTAACAAGACAAAAGCATTACCTAGCAACCAGGGAGAAACAGCGGATGCTTTGTTGCAAATGTACTATGGTTTGGAATCATAAAAACAACACAACTGTGATTGTGTCAACACAATCCAGTGGGGGCAGAGAATCTGCGGTTGATTCAAACACCTGTAAATAAAGCAAAACCGTCCAGAACAAAAATAGTGATGCAGTCCTCAGATGCAATGTTCATTATTTTATTACTCCACCAACTGTGTGATGTAATTGACGTCAGTTTGATATTTGGAACAACAGATAATTTGGGAGTTAGTCATATCTAGCTGCTAATTTTTCCAGTGATGTATCACAGTTATGTTGTTGTACCCCTGCACCCCTAATAACTAACTAACCTGCTAACCATCTAACATGCTAACTAAGTAACAGAAACATGCTCTTGAAACTGTATAATACTACTTGAGTTGACCTTGCCGTTTTGGATATGCTCTTACCCAGTCGTCTAGCTCTGGCCCTTGTCCAATTCACTCTGATCTTCTCGCTTGACCATTTTTTCTGCTTCCAACACATGAAATTCAAGAAACGACTGCTCACTTGCTGTCGAATATATCCCAAGGCTTGAGGTGTCATTGCCATTTTGTTTTACCTTCAGACTACATTCCTTCGAGTTGGAGGAATTCAAACATTTTTGATATTTTGAGCTGATTGTTTTCATTTGTCAAGCGTCTCGTAGTAACAAGGCACATGTTTCTGCATGGGTTTGTTGTGTTTGAAACATTTGAAAGTTTAGTAGTGTGTCCGATACCAGTTTTTCCAATGGGTCCAATGCCCAGTTTTTCCTCTGTAACATTTACAAAAAGTGTTCAGATTTTAAAGGTCGTATATTGTGTTCCAGCCCTAAGTCTCCATTTACACATTATTGTGTTGTCTTCTGCAGGTTTGTATCTACTGGGAAACTGACGGGACATCTGGGGCCGGTAATTTGTCTTGCGGTAGACCAGATGGGGAAGGGTCAAGATGTGGTCATAACAGGCTCAAAAGATCACACCGTTAAGGTACGTTCAGACATTCTAACATTCTCTCCGTGAACTAACATAAGAGCCCCTATGGGTACATATGATAATTTTCACCTTTTGCTCACAGCTCATGCACAATTACTCAAGCTGTTGCAGCTAATTTATGGTTGCTTAAACAAAACATTAGTTTAAAGCATTAATACACTGTAGCCCCCGAGTGCAACCAGAAACAAATCAAGGAAGATGCTTTTGGACTCCGATAGATATGCTTTTTGGACTTGTTCTGTATCCCTAAGGCTTTCATTTTCTTGTGTTGCAGATGTTTGAAGTGGTGGAAGGCACTCAGGGCAGTATCAGCGCCGCACATCATTTCGACCCTGCCCATAAGGATGGGCTGGAGGCTTTGGCCATGCATGGGGATTCACTTTTTACTGCTGCCAGAGACTCCTGCATAAAAAAATGGGACCTAGCCAGCAAACACATACAAGGGGTAAGTACCTGATGCAAGAAAAGGCAGATTTGCTGAGTGGCGGTAAACGCTCTGGATGTGTTCCAGAATCCTGTGATGCTGCCTACCTAAGCAGCATTTTTAGGCATCATTCCCAAAGCTAAAGCGGTTCCATCTATAATGCAGCAAAATTGTGGTGCCGTCTTAAAAGTTCTTGTCCCGGCTGCATTGTGTGTATAAGTCAATCTTTCTGCTGAGTGAAAAATGCCATTCAAGATGATGGAATCGAGATAAAATGTATTGCAAATATACAAAAAGTCGGTAGATAAGCGATATGATAATCAGGGCTTGACATTAACACCCACCAACCCGGCAAATGCAGGTGGATTTCAGCAGTGGCGTGTAACGCAGTCACTCCTACTTCCCACTTTGGCGGGCTGAATTTATATATCTAATATATACATTTTACAATTGTAGTCTTTTAAAAAGACATCTGAAATAAAAAACTAATTGCAATGAAGTGTTGTCAAAAATATAGATTTTCGATACATATCGATACTGAAATATCTGAAACGATTCCAATACTCATTCGCCTCCTCTCACTCATTCGCTTCATTTGCTCTGGATAAATATTGTTGGTGTTACAGGGCTTGAATTTCGGCGTGGGATTGTGCATAATTTGACTCATTCCCGCAGATTTTGTGCTCACACCTAAAGTGCGCGTGCATAATGCCGCCTCTCAGTACTAAATTGAGTTCTTTTTTGCTGCTTCTTGCGGTCAAACAGTCAAATATCCAAAAATAATGTCAAAATGCCGGTCTTGGGGAGTATTCATGTAAACAAAGTCAGTTATGGTTTAAGTGAACGTTAATAGTTGAGAAAGAAAACACGTGTAACAGTATAATGGATCCGTGCACCAGTCTTAAAGTGACAGCAGCATAATATACCTGCTGCCAAATTATGAGATAATATAAAAAAATATCTATTTGGCAGTTTTTCCCCATGGTATCGATTTCAAAATTGTGAAAATGCTGAGTGGCTCGTAACTTTGGAAAACCACTAGCCACAGTGGCTGGTGAGCAAAAAAAGTTAATGTCAAGCCCTGATGATAATGCTAAACTCTATTTGAATCAAGAAAGTCTATAATATTTGGAGAAAGCTATTCGTTAGCATTTCAATTCATCTCAGTAGCAGGTTTCAGAGAGTCAGCTCACTAGGATCTGGAACAGAGTTGACTTTTGTTTATACCTAAATATAATCTATATACGACTCTTAACTATCACGCATAAAGACACTGACTGAAGTAAAACCCTCACAACCGACTTTCAGTCATCCTGCTATAATTAATTTGTCTGCATGTGTTCTTGTAGCAGGTAGAACGGGCTCATTCGGATCTGCTGAGCTCTCTGGCGGTGGTTCCTGGCTCCAGTGCTGTTGTGAGCGGCTGCAAGGGCGGACTGCTCAAATTCTGGCACACAGACACGCTCAGAGCTCTGGGAGAAATAAGGGGTCATGACAGCTCTATCAATGACATCTGCACAAACAGCAATCAGCTCTTTACCGCCTCAGAGTGAGTGACAGGCATTTAAACACCGACACACACATAGAAAAACGCAGATAAAACCATAGCACCTATAATACACTGGAAGCCACATAACAACCTTGGTTAATCAGAATACGTGACTTGTTACGTTAACAGGTAATCAGTTGGTATTTTTTTATTCTATGTCCGGACATGCAATAGTTAACAAGTCATACAATTTCCAAAGTATTAAAATTATTGTACATAATCAGAACATTCTTGGTTTTCTTATAACCTTACTGATGACGAGGTGGCAATTTGATGGTAATGAAACTTGGAGCTTGCAGTGTTGTTATCATTATCAACTAGGAACTCATGAAATTACTAAAAAGTACCAATTACATAACTGGTACATTGTGTGTTAGCTGAGTAATGTGCTAAAAATTACTAGAACACCCCAGCAACTGCATAGCAACCCCTTTGCAACCGCATAGCAACACTTCGGTAACCAGCCAGGCAAATACATAATGTACTAGAAACTACTAGAACACCATAACAACACCGTGGCAACCACTGAACTCTTTTGCAGCCTCTTAGAAACACCTTGGTAACTACCCTGGCAAATACATAACAGTGTGCTTAAAAACCAACAGATCACCTTAGGAACTGCATAGCAACACCTTGGCAACCTTTTTGAACTCTTTTGCAATCGCATAGCAACACTTTAGTAACCACCCAGGCAAATACATAACAATGCGCTAAAAACTACCAGAACACCCTAGCAACTGCGTAGCAACACCTTGCCAACCACTCTGAACTATTTTGCATCTGCTTAGCAACACCTTAGTAAATGCCCAGGTAAATACATAATGTGCTAAAAACCGCCAGAACTCACAGGAAAAAGCATAGCAACAACTTGGCAACCTCTCTGAACTCTTTTGCAACCGCATAACACTTTGGTAACCACCCAGGCAAATACATAATGTGCTAAAAACTACCAGAACACCCTAGCAAATGCATAACAACACCTTGGCAACCACTCTGAACTCTTTTGCAGCCTCTTAGCAACACCGTAGTTACTGACCTGGCAAATAAATACATAACAGTGTGCTTTAAAAAACTACCAGAACACCCTAGCAAATGCATAACAACACCTTGGCAACCACTCTGAACTCTTTTGCAGCCTTTTAGCAACACCGTAGTTACTGACCTGGCAAATAAATACATAACAGTGTGCTTTAAAAAACACATCATCACCCTAGCAACTGTACACCTTGGCAACCACTCTGAACTCTTTTGCAGCCTCTTAGCAACACCTTGGTAACTGCCCTGGCAAAATATATAACAGTGTGATAAAAAAAAAAACACCAGATCACCCTAACAACTGCGTAGCAACACCTTGGCAACCACTTCTGATCTCTTTTGCATCCGCATAGCATCACCTCGGTAACCGCCAAGGTAAATACATAATGTGCTAAAAACCACCAGAACACCCACGCAAATGCATAGCAAAACCTTGGCAAGCACTTAGAACACCTTTGCAACCGTAAAGCAACACCCCAGCAACCATTCACAACAATCTAGCATTGTGGTAGCTTTTGGGTAGTTAGCACACGCATTTTTTTCATGAAAAATAGAAAAATAGTTGCTAAACTGCATTGTTGTTAATCAGATTGTTATTCTTAATCCTGGCATTTGTTTGTTTTTTACAGTGACCGGACAGTGAAGATCTGGCAAGTGAAAGGATCTTTAGAGGACGGCCTTTACTGACTCAGTAAAAGCACCTCTGATGAGAACAGAAGGTTACTGTGAAAGTTTTGGCTTTCCCGCAGGAATTTCCTTTACCAACGTGACACTTCTTTCCTGAAACTCTGCTTCCATTCCCGTTTGGCAGTGACTCGGTGGAGAGCGTCCTGTTGTGACTGCTGTATATTTCCTCATCTACAGTGTTGAAGTGCCCTGTTTAGCTGTTGTTGACCATAATGGGGGATAATGTAGGTCAATAAGTGTTTGTTCATGTGGCACATTCCTAAAGCTGGGCTTTGGGCATCACAGGCTGCCATACGAGCAGTGCGTTTAAGAAGCACATGTGTTTGTGAACGTCATGTTGACTGGACTTAACCGATATTCTTTTAAATTATTCATTAATATTGATGTCAGCTCTTTCCAATGTTTGTTGACCAAAGTTAGACTCTTTTGTGCGAATCTTTCCATCTTCAACACGTCACCCGTCTCAATGCAATCATACAGTAGTCTTAACTGCACTGGAATGGTGCAATGATATTTGCACCGCTATCTCTTGTCTACTTTGTGTTTTATCTTTTTCTATAAAGCCTGGACTGTTTCTTTTTCAATTTTCTGGTTGAAACCTTTTAGTACGCTGTACAAAAATATTTCCTCTGATGTACTGTAGTTATTATCAATGTCAGATGGCAAGTGAAAATAAACTACATCTGTCAAAATCCCACAGGTGTCTGAAGTTTTTTCAGTCAGACCAAAGACTATGGTCAGACCTTATTCAGAGCAGCGCCATGACAGGTTTGAAACCTGCTGTGAGGATATCATAGACTTACCGTCGTGTTTTCAATGGCATCCACTGTATAAAGCTCCTAGATCACTTATAATTCTCCACAGCTTATGTTTTCTGGAGTTTTTTTGTCTACTGAAATGTATTGGAAATAAGTTTTTTTGCAGTGTTTGGTCAGCAGAACAGTCAAAAACACAGCGCTGCTGTGAATAAGGTGAAAGCTTTAACGAATGTATGTACTGTGTAAAGTAAAGCAGTGAAACTGCAATTTCATAGTACTATCACTAGGGGGCAGTGCACACACAATGGACCGTGAACTGGCATTATCTGTACAGTGTATGCATCGATGGCCCTTACATTCAGGAGGGGGGTTCTGAATTAACATCTCTTACTTTAAAATTCTCAGCTCATAAAAAAAGTTAAAACAAATAATATATAATAAAAATGTTTCAGTTATTTCTATTTCTATTATCTTTTTGATTTATTTAATCATTTGCATTTATATACATGTGCTTGGTGTGATGGCAATCGTAATATTGGAAGCAGCAGTTGGTATAAAAATCAAATCAAAAATTGTGCTCAAATGCAAATGGTTAAAACTAATTATAGAGATTATTATAAAGATTTTTATTATTAACATTATTATTATTACTTCTTTGAAAAGTGCGAAGTACAATAACAGCTTTCATGAATTTATTGTAGAGAGGAAGTAAAACAAAAAGTCCCAAAATACTGAAAATCTGGCAAAATGTACCATTTTAACACTCATAAAAATTAGGAAAATGTAATTAGTGATACAATTGATTAGCCTACTTATTATAATCTACCCTTCAAAACTATAATGATTGCTTAACATTTTTTCCCCTTTGAAATCATCATTGGTGACATAATGAAAGAATCTACCATTTAAAATATTGATCAATGCACAAAATAAATGTACACTTATTAAACAAAAACAAAAAAAATGTGTGTATTATGCATTTGAGCCAGGCCCCCTAATGTACCTTTAAAATGACCTTTGACCAAAAGCCTGAGGGGCCACCCATGCACATTTTATTTTTAATAGTCGTTACCAATTCATGTTTAATGTAAATCTATATTATATGAGGGGGTTAAATCAAGTGATTAAAAGAAGCTTTGACAAATTAGATGCAAGTATGGCTCTGATTAAAAATATAAAACCACAGATCCATCACTCTGAAATAATTATCCCTACAAATATGCTCTCATTAGTTTCATGATGAAGTTTGAAATAACCTGACATGAAGAAGCACTCGTTCTGTTTGTGAACTAATAAAACCTTATGTAAGTGAGTATTGAGTTTGTTTCAATTGACACACAGATATAATGGCACACAGGGGAAACACTGTATTCTATATTTTATTTGTCCTAGTTACACTTCTGCATCGCCTGTGGCCTGTTGCTCAAAAACAAATTTAAATCTAAGGAGTATTGACAAAAAAATAATTTTTTTTAAAAAAAAGCCCATTGACTTTGGAGCAATGGAACCGGAAGTGCAAAGACGCCAACTAATTTCTGCGTTTTGGGGAGTAGTACGGGAACTAACCGTTATAATGCCGTAACCGTCCTGTTAAACGGACATGGAGCAAGTCCTTCTCTTACAGCAGCTGTCTCCATCTCGCAAGGCACTCATCTAAATTTAGAATAAGAGGGAATTCACTCAGCTGTAAGGAATCTCTCAGCTCAAGCACACACACACACACACACCATCACGTCATCCTACCGTACTCTGCTGTAATGTCCGTCAGTCATCATCTGCTCCTTACTGGAAACATGACGAAAGGATACAGGATTCAGTTTGAACAAGGCAGACCTGTGCGAATATAAAAAAAAATCAAATATTAAAACCATACAGTCTCGAAATAAATACCTTGATGAGAGTGTGTCTAATAAATCAAAGGTCTTTGTTCTTCCTGGTGAGACATGCTGATTGATTTAAAGGCTATTCCTGATGAAGCGATATGGAGAGATAATGAAAATCACCCGCTGAGATGATGATGAGGTCTAATATTTCATCATGTTTTTTTTTTGTAAACAAGTGACATTAAGATAAAGAAAAAAAAGATGGCTGATTGGCCAATACGATTTTTGACATGGCCAAAATGCACTGGTCCGAAATCACTGTCATTATTGAATGACTATACAGTATGATGTTACATGTTAGAAACTATATTTTTTGCATGAAGAAGATCCTTAATTATTTGCTTAATAAATTAGTATTTAAAATGATATAAATCAGGCATTATATCAATATCCCATGAGTCTTCCCAAGCATATACTCACTAAACACACAGAATGGAACAGACAGAGTATGTGAGTGGAGAAAGCAAATGTTTTTCCTACTTCTGTGAGCGCTCCAGTGTCACGATACTAAAAGATGAATATGAGTCAAAGAGATTCCAAAAACAGACGAATTTAATAAGAAAATACACTCAGATAGTCTAAGTCCACGAGACAGCGTTTCTCTAAACACAAACGCTGACACAAACAATAATCGACAGTGAACTGAGAACTCAGAGGAACTTAAATCTACACAGATAATGAACAAAATACTAACAGGTGTGATCAGATTAATCAGTAACCATAGTAACAAACAAGTGGCGGGAAAATGGACAAAGGAAACAATGCTGAGGAAACTAAAAGTCCATGAAAATGACATATGTTGCGTCTCAATTTTCCTACTTAGGCCTTGTCCACACGGACACGGGTATTTTTATAACCGGAGGTTTTCCTACAGCGTTTTTTAAAAAAAATCCCGTCCACACATGCTCGGTCTCCGTCTACATGAAAACGCAAAAACACGTATCAAGCGCGGTCAAGAGCATGCCACGCCAGCAGGCGGCGATATAAACCTTAACGGTAAAGCCACGTTGGCCAATCAGAAGCGCAAATCTGACGTCAAACACAGCGGATAACGGCGCACACTCTGACGTCGCAAGGCAAATACCCCGGTTTCACTGTCTACACGACAACACTGTAACCGGCGTTTCTGAAAATCCTCACCCTGGCAGGGGTTTTCAAAAATGTTCGGTTTCAGTGCGTTTTCGTGTGGACGAACAGCCGAACCGCGTAAAAAAAGTCACGGTTATAAAAATACCCGTGTCCGTGTGGACAGGGCCTTATACTGTGCCCTAAAAGTATGTACTCTTTTTGTGAAGAAAAAGTAGATACTTTTGAGTGTGTACTGTGTAGCAGAAGAGTAGACATGCTTTGGGACATACTATCACGTAATACAATTGTGTCTTTACGGTTACTCTCTGTCGCATCCTGACACTGTAAATTGGGCTGTCAATCATGTTGTCACAGTTAAAATCCTCCACATTTCATTTAATTTCATTTCATTTCCTACCGTAACGGAGAGAAATGCAGAAGCACGTTGATCTGCAGTCGCGGGTCTTTCATGTTGTATCAGTCACCAGCTGGAGTGCCCTTGAGAGCCACCAGAGGGCACTCCACATCATACTATTGTCACTCCCTCACAAACTACATCTCCCATAACTCACTGCCCGGACTCTTCATCCATTACATTCACCTGTGTCTCATTATCTTGTTTAGCTCACCCCATGGTTTTCTCCATAGATATCCATAATAAAGGCTAGATGTCTTACGGCGGAGTCTCTATCCTCATCACCGGCGGCCATCTTGTCACAGGCAAGCTTTCTGGCGGGCTCTGTGGTGCCTGATGTAATATGAGTGATCAGCACGAACACAAATACTCTTATCTCTTGAAATCTTGACGGATTTACAAACGGTTTGGTTTCTTACAAACGTTATTAACGTGGCTATAATTCTGGATGATTATTTATTTATACACTTATTATTCATAAGTATGCAGTGTCATAACTACATCTCTGACGTTTATAACAAACCAAACCGTTTGAAAATCGGTAGAAAATTGAGCAAGTTATGGTTATTTAAAAAGTACATGCACCATTAAAACACAATGTTACGAGTAAGCGAGCTGCCTGTGACAAGATGGCCGCCAGGTGCGGACGTCGACCTCCATTGGCCAGCAGCGCGAACGAGACATCTAGCCTTTATTATGGATATCTATGGTTTTCTCATTCATTATCTGTGAAGTAGACTCCAGTACCACACCCCAGTCCAGCAGGTGGCGGTAATGCACCATTAAAGTTAGTTGCCAACCGCCATAAAATTGAAAGAAGAAGAAGAAGAATTATCTGCGAAGTCTTGTTTAGTGTTACACTGCAATTCCGAGCATTCTTCCTGGTTTTATGTCTCTTGGTTTTGGATTTCTTGCCTGTTGCGTGGATTACTCTTTTGCCCGTGTTCTCTGCCTTGTTATGTTTGTTTGTTTGCCTGTGTTTGACCTTGCCTGTACTTTGGATTACATCTTTGGATTAGCCTGTTCAATAAATACTGCATTTGGATCCTCAACCTTCCTGTCTCGGAGCAGTTTGTGACAGAAGACTTCGCCAATATGGATCCAGCAGTTGAGTTAGTCCGCATGCGCCGAGGTAAGCATACCCTTGAAGAGCACATTCATATTTTCCTGGACATTGCAAATGTTTCTGAACTGCCAGATTGTGCTCTCATTGACTTTTTCTTTAACGGGCTTAACCATCCGCTTAAGGACAAGTTTATCCACGATGCTCCTCGAGGGTCGTTCAGTGACTTTTTGGATTATGCCCTGCTTTTGTTTGGTTCCTCCTTCACTGTTGGGGAGGTTGAGGAGAACATGTCCCTTAAACGTTTTTTTGGGGAGGGGCATCACACTCCAAGATCCAGTGGCCATTGAGCTTGGCCCACCACAGTCACCAGCATGCCCAGGTCTGCCTCTTCACGTCATGCCTGCCGAGCCTGAGTCAGTTCTGGAAAAGACAGCACTCATCATAGTCGCCACTGCGATTTTGAGTGTGTGGGCAGTACCCACGTCGGCTCCAGCTCGTGAATCCTTGGCCAAGATGGCCGGCGTCCTACAAGAGTCTCGTCCCGTGATGGCCACCCTTCCAGAGTCTCGTCCCGTGATGGCCGCCCTTCCAGAGTCTCGTCCCGTGATGGGCGCCGTCCTTCCAGAGTCTCGTCCCGTCATGGCTGCCCTTCCAGAGTCTCGTCCCGTGATGGCCGCCCTTCCAGAGTCTCGTCCCGTGATGGCCGCCCTTCCAGAGTCTCATCCCGTGATGGCCGCCGTCCTTCCAGGGTCTCGTCCCGTCATGGCCGCCCTTCCAGAGTCTCGTCCCGTGATGCCCGCCCTTCCAGAGTCTCGTCCCGTGATGGCCGTCCTTCCAGAGTCTCGTCCCGTGATGGCCACCCTTCCAGAGTCTCGTCCCGTGATGGCCGCCCTTCCAGAGTCTCGTCCCGTGATGGCCGCCCTTCCAGAGTCTCGTCCCGTGATGGCCGCCGTCCTTCCAGAGTCTCGTCCCGTGATGGCCGCCGTCCTTCCAGAGTCTCGTCCCGTGATGGCCGCCGTCCTTCCAGAGTCTCGTCCCGTCATGGCCGCCCTTCCAGAGTCTCGTCCCGTGATGGCCGTCCTTCCAGAGTCTCGTCCCGTGATGGCCACCCTTCCAGAGTCTCGTCCCGTGATGGCCGCCCTTCCAGAGTCTCGTCCCGTCATGGCCGCCCTTCCAGAGTCTCGTCCCGTGATGGCCGCCGTCCTTCCAGAGTCTCGTCCCGTGATGGCCGCCGTCCTTCCAGAGTCTCGTCCCGTCATGGCCGCCCTTCCAGAGTCTCGTCCCGTCATGGCCGCCCTTCCAGAGTCTCGTCCCGTGATGGCCGCCCTTCCAGAGTCTCGTCCCGTGATGGCCGCCCTTCCAGAGTCTCGTCCCGTGATGGCCGCCCTTCCAGAGTCTCGTCCCGTGATGGCCGTCCTTCCAGAGTCTCGTCCCGTGATGGCCACCCTTCCAGAGTCTCGTCCCGTGATGGCCGCCCTTCCAGAGTCTCGTCCCGTGATGGCCGCCCTTCCAGAGTCTCGTCCCGTGATGGCCGCCGTCCTTCCAGAGTCTCGTCCCGTCATGGCCTCCCTTCCAGAGTCTCGTCCCGTGATGGCCGCCCTTCCAGAGTCTCGTCCCGTGATGGCCGCCCTTCCAGAGTCTCGTCCCGTGATGGCCGCCCTTCCAGAGTCTCGTCCCGTGATGGCCGCCGTCCTTCCAGAGTCTCGTCCCGTCATGGCCTCCCTTCCAGAGTCTCGTCCCGTCATGGCCGCCCTTCCAGAGTCTCGTCCCGTCATGGCCGCCCTTCCACAGTCTCGTGCCGTGATGGCCGCCCTTCCAGAGTCTCGTCCCGTGATGGCCGCCCTTCCAGAGTCTCGTCCCATGATGGCCGCCCTTCAAGAGTCTCGTCCCGTGATGGCCGCCCTTCCAGAGTCTCGTCCCATGATGGCCGCCACGCCTGTGGACATCATGCCCGCCGCCACGCCTGTGGCTTCGGACAAGATGGCAGCCTCTATGCCTGTATCTTCAGACAAGCAACCGCCTCTGCCCCTGAAGCGTTGGATGACTTGGATCCTCAACCTTCCTGTCTGGGAGCAGTTCGTGACACATGCAGAGAACTCTCCTCATATTAATGCATAATGATGCCTTTAAAAGTTAATGGCCAAATGGATCTTTATAAAAGTCCACATTGTTATTGTAGATGAAATATAACAAGGATATCAATAAATAAAATAAAAATGATCAGGTTAAACTTTGATTAGTCACTCAAACCTTTATCTAAACCTCTCACCGTCGGTCGCGCATATCTGCCATGTTTTGTAGTTTTTTTTTAACACTTTTTACTCGTGTTCGTAGTTCCTCCTCCAAAGCGCAGTGGGCTGTGGGCAATATTAGCCTTTATAGTGTGCACGGATCCACACTTCGAAAATCAACTGGAAATAGTCGACCATCCGTGGACTTCTGGCATATTCTTTTCAACATACTACGCTTTGGGACACACTTATTTCAATCTCACATACTGTTTAGGATGGATAGTATGGACATTGAGACGCAGGGAAGATTAATAAGTATCCAGGATTCCCAGCTCCACTCCGGGTTTTTTCATTTCCTGCATTTTACATTTTTAATAAAACATTGTTTAGTATGTTTTTAAGCCATTTTAGTTACGAGTACTCGTAACTAAATAAATATCCCCATAAACCACGTTTGTGTTGTAATACATGTCATGATGTAAATTTGTGTCCTCATATATGGTGCCTAATAGGTTTCTTAAAAGAATTGCTATTAGTCACACTTCTATAATTAACCGTGGCACATAACGCATGTTTTACAGTATGAGACCTTGTACAAAAGATCTTTTTTTCATCTGTGATTCCATCTTTCATATTTAATGCCTTGTTTGTATTTCAACAAAAGAGCGACTTCTGTTATCCATTCAATTCTGCCAATTCAATTCAATTTTCAAAGTCTCTAACAGCAGCAACAGTAACATTCACTATGATTTAAAAAAAAAAATCATTTCATATGGATTCATTAGATATCCGTCGAGTCATCTAAAGCTGTCCCTGAATAAATGTTGGCTAATCGTTGCATTGAAGTCCAGTTGTTTGCCAGTTAGCATGAATGTACTGCTAATCCAGACCCGATGGCAAAAGTCAATAATCACTGTTGTTGATCCCTGAAATGTGAGTTTTTCCACCAGTCCCCAGCATTGCCATATCCTCATAAATTCAACATGAGACTCGTCATGACTATGTGTATCTGGTTATATTCAAAGCAACTGTAAAGAGAGTCAATTCAACATGCCTCATCTGAGAACAATGCAACATAATGAACTCATCTGTGTTCATGCGCTGAGTCTCAAAGGTATGGATGCAAGTAGTTTTAGTAGTCTATACATAATATTTTTTTTGTTTCTTGAAATTTCGAAGTGTTTGTATTGTTTCAGAAGAATTATACCAGCTTATTGTTCCAGCTGCTGCTGGAGTTGTAAAATTCAGTTGGAACTACTTCCTCAATGCCTAATACAATGAGCACCACTTTAGTTTCAGAAAGCAAAGACAATGCAAAGAAAGAGAATCAGCTGATCATAAGGTGAACATTACATTTGTATTCCCATAGCTTAATAAATGTAATCATAGACATTAGAAATTAGAACAGTAACAGCCATTGCTATACACATAAACATGTATTGTGTTATTACTGTCGCTCAGTCCACAATAAAATGCTGCATTTAAAAATTATTATAACATAATCAATATTAACATAATAGTAATTACTAAAATTAATGTTATATATATATTAGGGTATGTATATGATGCTATACAGCACTATGTACACATAATGCTGAAATTATACCAAAAAATTATTTGAATAAATACTGCATTATTTAACCATGTCTATATTTATGATTTGTGTATTTGATTGTGTTCTATAACAGTATTATTACTATTATTTTAATATGGTATATTATACTATATGTCACATAGCCTAATATAATACTTAAATGATACAAGTTACAACAACATTTATTTGAATAAATACTACATTATTTAACAATGTCTATGTTTATGATTATGTTCTATAACAGTATTATTATTATCATTATTATAACACTTACGTGGTAATAATAAAATGAAGAAGAACAAGAAGTAGAATAATGGAACTGTTGTTGTCTCTGTCACGGCATTGTCAGTGTTTAATCTGTTTTGAGTCTCACATGAATTCACACACAGCGAAGAATTCTCCAAGTGTGGCACCATTCCTTCGCCCATGCAGCAGCACACTCTCTCTCTCTCTCTCTCTCTCTCTCTCTCTCTCTCTCTCTCTCTCTCTCTCTCTCTCTCTCTCTCTCTCTCTCTCTCTCTCTCTCTCTCTCTCTCTCTCTCTCTCTCTCTCTCTCTCTCTCTCTCTCTCTCTCTCTCTCTCTCTCTCTCTCTCTCTCTCTCATGGCGAGCAGAAGGGACGCCGTCTCTGTTACGGACTGACGGAAGCTCTGCTTTCCTCCTCGCATTCTTTAAAAACACATGAATTCACTCGCGTAAAGAGGCGTGAGTCTCCACACTCTTCCGTCTAAAGGGGTTAAATAAAGGAAATCTCAGCATGAACAGTATGAGCAGTTGCGGCTTCCTGAATATGGCGACGACAGGAGATTTTGACCCGCTCAACGCCACTATTCCTGCCACAAAAGTTGAGATTACGGTCTCGTGCAGGTGAGGAACGTTTACGTACCGCTCGCACCTTTACGTACAACTGCCTTTTATTGACAATCCGCCTGATGTTTTAATAAAACATTTGGAGACGACACAATTACGCATGACATTTTGGCACAAAACCAGGTTATAACCTCGTCTATCTCCAAAATGTCATGCGTAAGTGTGTAAACGTGGTGTAGGATATGTGAATATCATAATAGAAGAAATATATTTCCACTGTACTTTTACTCTTGGAGTTTTTCGGAATGTTACTTTCTTTCGCACCATAACAAACACTATCCACGCCGCTTCTTTCACCAGCTGTTAGTCAAATGCCTAACATAAGTTTTGTTTTGGTATAACTATGGTGTTTTTTTTCCGAAATGGGCTATTACTTCTGAAGTGAAATTGAATTAAAGGTGGACTTTGTAATGATTATGATTTGATTTTGGGTAACCGAAACCGAAAACACACAGTCGCACGTTTGTTTTGGTCATGATGATTACTATCTATCGACTTCTATTGTTTTATACTGCACTATTGATATTTATTTCATTTAACCACAAGTCATAATTTGGTTTATTATGTTTATTGAACTCTCATTCAGGTTTGACTATCCTTTAATAATTTGGTCTCCACAATGTAAGAAAACCCCCCTCACACTTGTTGTATTACGAATATGGTCTTCCGGTTGAGTTCTTTCTTACTTTCAAGCATAAACGACTGCAAAACCACACGTACGTTTGAATCAAACATGTCTCCTTGATAATGTTCAAGTTGTTCAAGAGTAGTTTATGAGATATCACATTATAACTCAAATATTTAACACTTCCTTAAACATTCCTTATCCTAAACACACTTGACATCTTTTAAAATACTGTTATGATTCATATTTTGGTAGCACTTTATTTTACAGTCCTGCTTCCATGTACATACTATGTACGTATTATAGTAATTACGGTAACACTTTACAATAAGTTTAATTAGTTAACATTAGTTAATGAACTAACAATGAGCAATACATTTGTAACCATATTTATTCATCTTTGTTAATGTTAGTTAATAGAAATACAGCTGTTCATTGTTTGTTCATGTTAGTTCACAGTGCATTAATTAAAGTTAACAAATACAACCTTTGATTTTAATAACTTGTTAGTAAATGTTAAAATTAATATTAACTAAAATTAATAAATGCTGAAGTATTGTTCATTCTTAGTTCATGTTAACTAAGGTAGTTAACTAATGTTAACTAATTAACCTTATTTTTAAGTGTTACCGTAATTACAATAATAACTAGGTAGGCTACTAAACCTGAACCTAACCGTAACCCAGTAAGTTATCTTATATTACTCAGTACTTTCTTAGGTAAGTACACGCAAGTACATATACTTAAAGTGCAACCCATATTTCTTATCAATATATCATCATAATTGCTGGCGATTTACCTTTTGAACTCACTCTCCCACCAGAAGCGAGTCATTTTGGATAATGATTATTTCATATTTCTCAACAGCCTGGGTTTAGCTGGAAAATTATGGCTTTAATAAAGCAGAAAAAAAAAACATATTTGGGAAAGTTATTGATTGTTGTGCATTTAGAGATTGTTCAGATGAATAATTCACGTGTAGGGCCTATACGTTTGTGATGCATCCGGGCTCCCCTCGCGTAAACAAATGCGAGCGGGCAGGAGCTGTCCGCTCAGCCGTTGTGAGGAGATGTTGACGGTGAATTACTATGCTCCGTGTCCCCTTGGGCAGGCATGTGCAACAGGGGAACACACACGCACACATAGGTGCGCACAATCTAGAAGCTCTCTTGGGAAGGGAACGGTAGCGGTGCCATGGTTACGATCAGGTACATTCCTGTACTGTAGGGCCACTTTACCACTGTCACCATGGTTATCATGGGAGATGAGCAGATAGAGGAGAATGTCTGTATTCATAAGATCACAGTCAAACATGTGAAATAAAATGCTAAATTAGATGCATATTACATTTAGTGTCTAGTGTTATGGAAATTTCGAGGTCCACGGGTGTCGTTAAGTTTGCACGTTGAGCAAGTTAGCTTGTTTTTTTTTGTTTGTTTTTTTTAGCTGTTAATTATGTTTCAGAGTGACCGGAGTTCAATTTTCAATGTGAGCTGTTTCTTGACTGTGTAATTATCTGAACTTGAAGCGCATGAGGGTGTTAGGTCACTGTATAATCACATACAAATTGGAGAATGGCTTGAGAATATCCAACCTTACTGCTAGTTAAATATAGTCTGTTTTAAAGGGCTTTATAGAGATGATTTAATTACAGGTTTTTTTTTTCAAAAGGTAAGAAGTGAATACAGGATACATGTGGGTAACAGATAACAGACATGTATTTTAGGTTGAAATATTTATGAGTGTATATTATGACTATGCACGATTCTGGATAAATTGAGAATCACATTTTTTTTTTTTTTTTTTTTTAAATAGAGATTATGATTTTCTCAAGATTCTGATAGATGACTAAACAAAATAATAGAGGTTCTCACAAAATGTTAATCGCTGCAGTCTCTTTCAAAATGTTTAACTGATTTGAATGAATATTTTAAAAAAAGTATTTTGAGTGAATGATTCAATGACTCCCTCATAAAGATTGCACTTGTCTCATTACACGATAAATCAACGTTTTTGAACGAATCTCTTGAGTGAATGATTCAATGACTCCCTCATAAAGATTGCACTTGTCTCATTACACGATAAATCAACGTTTTTGAACGAATCTCTTGAGTGAATGATTCAATGACTCACTCATAAAGACTTAACTTGTTTCATTACACAATAAATCAACGTTTTTGAACGAATCTGTTGAGTGAATGATTCAATGACTCCCTCATAAAGACTTAACTTGTTTCATTACACGATGAATCAAGTTTTTGAATGAATCTCTTGAGTGAATGATTCAATGACTCCCTCATAAAGACTTAACTTGTTTCATTACACGATGAATCAACGTTTTTGAACGAATCTCTCGAGTGAGTGATTCAATGACAAATACACTTTTAACAGTCACTTGTCGCCACCTACTGGTGTAACAGAGTCACTTTCAAAATGTGATTTACTGTATTTTGATCTCTACCGTAGACGTCAGTGTTGATATCCGAGCTGTAAACTTTTATCCCAGTCCTTCTGTGATATTTCGAATTATTGTAAGAAATAACGATGCTGTGTGGTTGAAAAGAGTTTCATATATATGACGGAAGTTAAGGTTATATGCTCATTTAGCGCATGGTCTCACAAACGTTGTAGGTCTACAAGTTCTTCAGAGGTGCAGCAGGGACTCTCAGTTACATATTGTGTAAACTTGTTAGTTATAGTTGTTAGTTATTTTACTATTCTGAACTTTTTAAAACCATATTAGTTTGAGATCAGACGATAATTGGTGGAGCCCCTGCAGTACTGCCACGGACCCCCTGTTAAAGACCCCTGGTCCATAAATATTCTGATAAACCATAAAAGCGAGTGGAAAGTTCAAACATTTTTACGGACAGAGAATTATGCTTTTGGCAAACATGCCTTAGAGATTAAGTATTATGTGTGACTATGACTAATATTCTACTTAGTGCTTTAGGAAACTCATCCTGAGTCAGTGTTTCAAGCTCTTTCGTCTCGTATTGAATAATCAGTAACGCAATATAATTCAATTGAAATGTTCCGCTCCAGAACACATATCCCTGCATTTCCTTGTTTATGGCTCTATTAGCTGGAGTGGGCGGTCTTCGATAGATAAGAATCCCATTTGGACTCTGATTCCAATGATTGGTAAACAGCTTTGCTTGACACTGTTTATGTGTTCATTTTTTCCTGTTTGATTCACAGAACTTTCAGTTTCAATATTTGAGCTATAAATGAATTTTTTTTATTCTTAATGTGTGTTATTTGATGCAGAAGAATATTAGGTAACACTTTATTTTTCAGTGTCATTGTTACACATTACATGTAATTACTGTAGTAATAACTATAAATTATGCATAATTACATGCAATTAACCCTAAATCAAACCCTCATTCTAACCCTATTATAAGTACATGTAGTTAATTATTATTAATCAGTACTTAGATGTGATTACACTGTAATACTGACACTTTAAAATAAAGTGTAAATGAATATTATGATTGTAGAGTAACAGTAATGCTATAGAAACATTTTGTTTGTCTGCATGTTTTGGATGATTGACAGATGTTTACTTCATTGTTATGCAGTTGCTATGCTACTCTAGGTGGTTGCTAGGGTGTTTAAAAAATAAATAAAAAGTCCACCCCCCAAGTCTTTATATACTGATTTGTAGATATGGCTTGTGGCAAGAAAAAAAATGTGTAAATCTGATATCTTATAGAAGTAATTACTTCAACTTCAACATGACAGAAACTCTTTTAAATGTCAAACGTAACTGAACATTAAACACTAGCAGGTCTTTCCCTCATAAAATTAATAAAATAACCCTTCATTTCAGCATTTACTCTTTTGATCCAGCCTTATGCAAAGCATGTTGATAACTAAAATGTCACTGCCCTGTTTAAAACTTAAATAAAAAACATTAGGTATTGACAAATGTTCAGCAATTGTGCTTTAGCTCATTTAAATTAAGTAAATTGCACAAGCAGCAATACTAATTTTCTACTCAGGACCAAAAAAGTTAATTATTCTTTTTGATCATACACTATTTTTTTTATATTAGATGTTTTATATAGTACATCAGATACTATGTTATTACATTGTAGTTACATTGTATCAAAGGCATATTTTTTAAAAATGGAAGTACATATGTCTTCATATATTCAGCTTACATCTTTTTAATGCAAGTTACACTTTGCTGAATGAGGATGTTATGCAATCATTAATTTATGTCATATTGTTTTACAGTTAATACAATGGCTAAACTATAACTGTTAAAGTATAGTTGATACCAATACCAGTAAAATGTCACAATTCTCTATACCAACTTTGGTACCATAGCAAAAAAACTATTGGAATTATTTAAGGTCTCATT